AAACCAGAGGAAATACTTTATCAAAATAATAGTCTCAAGAGTAATCCTCAGGTTAATCCCATAAGTTTACCAGGCTTTGCATGTAAAGAATCTTACGACAGAAAAGTATGAATGTCAGCCACGCAGGATATGCTTGTTATTCATATTTTCTACATGGTTTTATGAAAATCTGTTGACTATTTTTTCAGACACAAGTTATTTTTGGCATTCATATAAGAACTGAAACAACATAGGGAATCAGTACAAACATTAAATATTTTTTTAAAGACAGTTACCACTTTTTAAACATCAATCTTAGTACTGCCTTGTGCAAAAACAAAATTTTCATTTAGAAACTCCATACAGATAGATGGAAGCCAACTATACTTTTCTCAGTTGCAAGTATTCCAAAACAAGTATAAGATTTAGTGATATAAACCAGATTAAAAGGAGATTTTACAAAGTAAGACTTAGTTCTTCTAAAGAGACCCTCCACAATGGCTTCAATTCTGCTATAGTTTCTTTAATCTCATTAAAAGGGATGGTGGGGGAGTGTAGAGAGTCTCACCAGAAGTTTCCACTTTTTAATAGCCAGATCGTTGATCAGTTTTAGGGCTTCTTTGTGTAACTTAGAAGTTCTTTTTCCATTTGAAATCCACTTTTTTCCCACTGTTCATGCAGTTGTTGAAACAGAGCCCCAGTTTCCTTTCCTGAAGAAATGCCCACTTTCCTGATGTCACGGCCGCTCACAGGAAATGGGGGGATGGACCACTGCTCCACCTCCTTTAGGAGACTGTGCTCACCTTGGTACTTCAGTAGTTCACACACAGGGCCAGTCACATCAGGTTCCCTAGAATCTATAATGAAGTCTTGATAGGGTTTCAGTGGTTCTGAACTATCTGTTACTTTAACTAAGTCTTTCCTATTTTTAACTATAAATAGGCCACGGTTTTTCTCTTCCTTTGAAATCTTCAACCTCAAATCCAATTTTCTGATGTCATCCTGTACTTTGAATAATGAAGCCAAAACAGTCATCGGTTTTGGTGAAAAACCATCAACATTTTTACTGACTTTGTTAAATTCTTCTAAACTTGCATTAGCAGGTAAGCCTATATAAGGAGCCACATCAAGATCAGAGATAAGATGAATCAAGTGATTTACATGGTTACCAGTAAGAATTTTTTTCAGTTCCACCCAAGTCCTCTCTCCTGATATTCCACCCAAGCCTTTTGCATTTTCTGCAATTGCTTCCAGTGTCTCAGAATCATGGTCACCAGGTTTGTCTACAATTCTGCCATAAAACCTGAAATATCTTAAAATTTGAAGATAATCTTCTTGTATTCTCTTTTTAGCATGTCCAACAAATCTAACTTTCTTTTTTTTTTATTAAATTCTTTTATTGGTACATTGTAGGTATACAACACAATTACATTTCTCATTGGGAATT